AAAAGCCGGAAGTGGCGCTGTGGCTCAAGTGGTAGAGCGCTAGCCTTGAGCTGAAGAGCTGAGGGACAGCGCCCAGGCCCAGAGTTCAGGCCCCATGACCTGACCCAAAAAAAAAAAAGAAGAAGTGAAGCTCAAGTGTCAATTTTGTGGGCCACTTTAATGGTACAGTCTGCAACATGCTAGGTACAGAAAGACAGCAAGCATTTGATTTCTATTCAATGTATCAACTTTATGTCTGCTAAACTGAAGGAAAAATGTGAGCTTCTATTGCTTATTTGTGTACCTTTGGGGTTTTTTTCTCAGACTTATATGAAGTTACAAAAATAATATAGTCTTGTGTATCTTTCACTTGGATTGTCCATGTAATCGCCAATCCCACTCCACCAAAAAAATACCATTGCAGCATTTTATATATACTTATTTGTGCATATGTAGGGAAGATGAGGAGGTTAAACATGACAAAAGCAGAGAATTGTTCATACCACCTAGAAACGATTCTATCCTATATGTCACATCTGATCTCTGGTAACCCACTGATTTATTTCTCTATAATTCAGTATTTCAAGAACATTTTCTAAATGAAATCATACAAGTATGAAAATACCTTCTTTTATTTCATCCAAATAACTAGATGTATCAATAGTTTGCTTTTCATTGCTGACAAGAATTGCATGTTTGCTTCTTTTTATTTTATTTTTTTGAGAGAGTCTAACTATATGCCATAGGCTGGAACTATATGCCTGGTACTCTATATAAAGCAGACTGGGCCTTGAATTCATAATCATCCTGGTTCAGCCTTTCTAGAACTGGAATTACAGGCATACAAGATCATATCCAGCATGTCTATATCATTTTTAAAGGATTTCATTTCATTATATTTTACACAAATGGGATACACACAACAGCAAAATACATCTAAATCTGTGATAAACTAGGGGGAGATGTCTTCAGTTGAGAAGCATTAGCATGATTAAAGTATCAAGGCCAAATAACATACTGTCTAGTATTCACAATATTTATTAATGTTTAACACTAAGATTGTGTCATATTTATAATAAATATATGTCTTATCTTTCCATATAATATATAGGCCCCACATTTCCATTTAAGTGATCCAAAAGTATAATGAATTCACCACGTTCTTGCAGGAAGCAACTGAAATATTTGTTTAAATGGCTTTCTATATAAAGACCAAGTACTATTGTGAAGGCTGCTGTCTGGTACATTCTAGAATGTTTATTTAGCAGCCTCCCTGCACTATAACTACTGATGCCTGTACCAGTAGTAACTTGTCCCAACCTGTAACAAACAAGAAAACTCCAGACATTGCCAGATGTCTCTGAGAGGGTACAATCACCTCTGTCTCAGAGCTACTGACTTACATAAATATAGATGGTATCCAGATATACGGGTATCACTTTAAACCTTGGAATGTGCTATTAATTTTCTTTTTATTTAGCATATAAAAATGTACAGATTGCCAGATGCCAGTGGCTCATGCCTGTAATCCTAGCTACTCAGGAGGCTGAGATCTGAGGACCACAGTTCAAAGCCTACCTGGGCAGAAAAAGTCCATGAGACTCTTATCTCCAATAAACCACCAGAAAACCGGGAAGGTGCACTGTGGTTCAAGTGGTAGAATGCTCGCCTTGAGCTGAAGAGCTGAGGGACAGCGCCCAGGCCCAGAGTTCAAGCTCCACAACCAACAACAACAACAAAAAAAAGTACAGATTCTCTTTAGGTTTCAGAATTCTTTTCTTTTTCATTGTAATTGAAACTAATCTTTTAAAATTTATGTTTGAAGCTGAATGCCAATGACTCATGACTGTAATCCTAGCTATTAAGGATCCTGAGACACAAGGATCATGGTTCAAAGCCAGTCCAGGCAGGAAAAGTTTGTGAGACTCTTATCTCCAATTAACCACAAAAAGTCAGAAGTAGAGCTGTGCCTCAACTCAAGTGATAGAGCACTGGCCTTGAGCAAAAGAGCTCAGGGACAGTAGCCGGCCCTGAGCTCATGCCTCAGTATCAGCATACAAAAAAGGCTGAAACACTGGGCAACGGTGGCTCATGCCTGTAATCCTAGCTACTCAGGAGGCTGAGATCTGAGGATCACGGTTCAAAGCCAGCCCAGGCAGCAAAGTCCGTGAGACTCTTAACTCCAATAAACCACTAGAAAACCAGAAGTGCACTGTGGCTCAAGCAGTAGAGTGCTGGCCTTGAGCTGAAGGGTGCAGGGATAGCGCCCAAGCCCAGAGTTCAAGCCCCAAGAGCAACCAAAAAAAAAAACAAAAAACGGTTGAAACATATAAAACCTCACATAATATATCAAATGTGATACAATGCACACTTATTAAAACATATACTGTAATACAAGTGAAGGGTATTAGGAACCTTTGTAATTTCATTAAGAGTGACTAAATTCTATTATCAAGCTATATAGATTGGTGTGTGATATACTTTTACCTGATTAGAATTTTTCAATAAAAATGAAAATTCTGACTATCTTTGGGCAATGTAGTAATCCCTAGGAAAAATTCACAGGAAATAACATTAGAATGGTTTGTTTGAATAAGTAAAATGTCCAGTGGGAGTTAAAACTATCCTATTCAGGATCTAGCATAAAGTATTAAGATGTGGGTAGAAGTGAAATATGTAATAGTTACTGTAAAATCAAATTTGCATATAAAAATGTATATGAAGCTAGGCACTGGTAGCTCATGCCTGTAATACTAGCTACTCAGGAGGCTGAGATCTGAGGATCTTGGTTCAAAGCCAGCCTGGGTAGAAAGTCCACAGGACTCTTATCTCCAATAAACTACCAGAAAAGCAGAAGTGGCACTGTGGCTCAAGTGGTAGAGTACTCGCCTTGAACTGAAGAGCTGAGGGACAGCACCCAAGCCCAGTTCAAGCCCCATTACTGACCAAAAAAAAAAAAAGTATATGTAATGTGACCTTGTTAGTTAAAATAAAATGAATTATGCAATTTGTGATCAAGGAGTTGGGGTGGAGGGGGAACTGGGAGAGTAAAGGAGGAAAGTACCATTACCTGACTTATGAAACAGTTACTCCTCTGTACATCACCTTTATAATAATAATTTTTTTTTTGGGTCCGGTCGTGGGGCCTGAACTCTGGGCCTGGGCGCTGTCCTTCAGTTCAAGGCTGGCGCTCTACCACTTGAGCCACAGCGCCACTTCCAGTTTTTTTCTTTTTGCTTATGTGGTACTGAGAAATCGAACCCAGGGCCTCAGGCATGCAAGGCAAGCACTCTACCACTGAGCCACCTTCCCAGCCCACCTTTATAATAATTATAAAAAAAAATTAGGCCTGGGAAGGTGACTCAGTGGAAGAGTGCTTATCTTGCATTCAAGAGGCCCTGGGTTCAATTCCTCAGCACCACATAAGCAGAAAAAGCCGGAAGTGGCACTGTGGCTCAAGTGGTAGAGTGCTAGCCTTGAGCTGAAGAGCTGAGGGACAGCACCCAGGCCCATAGTTCAAGTTCCACAACTGACAAAAAAAAATTTAAACACACACAAACACACTAAACATAACCCCAGTGGAACTTCAAGAGATGCTGCTGAGATCTGAAGGATATTTGTTCCTACTACCTGAGGATCAGTATGGTCCTGGCCCAGGAAAGAAAAGTCTAGATCCCCTGGTGGCCAGGGTTTCTGATTCATCTCAGGCTGTGCCAGAGACAGGCTATACCTGGTAGAGTATTTATATTCTCCTTATTAACTTTTCTATATAGGGAGTGCCTAGAATTTTGGGATACTGCAGTGGGAACTACATCCCCCTACTTCTCAGTCTCACCAATAGCAGTCCTTATAAGGAAATAGGCCAAGTTAGCAAAGAATCCACAGTATCACAAGCTGTTCTTGAACTGGCTTTATTCTAGGTAGTGCTCCTCCTCGGAGCATACAGCTGTGTCTTTTATTTCAACAACTGCACAATTTAGCTGCATTGGACCTGTCTCCATGACAACAAAGAGATTGTTTACAATCTTGAACTACCTAAAAATGACCATCCTTGAACCCATGTAATTTGTTACATGACCTACAGTCTCTGTAAATAATAAACCTGGACAGCTTTGCTAGATCCATGGGTATATGCACTTGGAATACATAGTGCCAAACTGTCCCAAATGAAATATCACACCTAGTTTATAACAAGAAAAAAATCTGTATCTAGTATGACCTTGTTAATCAAAATAGCTGCACTAAAGTTTTACTGCTTTTAGTAGTTTGCTAAACAAATATGAGATATGAATTTAAGCTAAAGTGTATTAAAATTTTATTGTTTTTCCTCCTTATTATTATTCCTACAAAGAGATTATTCAGGATAACCAATCTGAAGAATACCAGGTTTTAATATCTTAATTTATTATGCTATAATTTTGTGTGTGTGTGTGTGTGTCTGTCTGTCTGTCTGGTTCAGAAATAAATCTAGAACTTTAAAAATAATTTTAATTATGTAGTTCAGTTAAAATATAAAAATATCATACAAGAAAGGCAATACCTGAATGACCCATTGTCGATGCTGCCAGGCATGATAATTCTTTGCATCCTGATTAAGAATATCAGCAATAAACTCAAGCTCCTGAGATGGGTCCTTCAGCCACTCTACTAATACTCGCCTATGGTGCCTAAAGTCCAAAGAAGAAGGGGAAAAGTTTGTGTTAGTTTACCTAAGAATATATTAGCTGCACCTGTTGCACTAGGTGATGTGAAAGGACACTCAAGAAATAAAAATTCAGCCAAGTGCTGGTGGCTCACATCTGTAATCCTAGCCACGCAGGAGACTGAGGAGCATGATTCCAAGCCAGCATGGACAGGTAAGTCTGGGAGACTCTTATCTCCAATAACTGCTCAGAAAAATCTGCAAGTGGCACTGCAGATCAAGTAGTAGAATGCTATCCTTGAGCACAAAGAGGCTCAAGGATAGCGCCCAGGCAAGTTCAAACACCAAGACCAACAGAAAAAAACAAAAAACAAGAAAAATTCACCTCTAATTGTCAAGAACTTGAATACAACTGAAGAGGAACTCTAATAGAAAGGAAGAGGGAAATTAACATAAGAAAGACAACAGAAAATTTTCAGTACACTAACACATAAAAGAATGATTACAATGCAGTGTGAACATGTATGGACACATAATAATGAAATCTCCCAATAATATAAGCTAATTATTTAAAAAATTCAAACAACAAAAACACCAGTAACATACATGTAGAATTCGATATTTGGAACTGAAAGGTCATTTATATCAAACTAAACCTGGAAGTTCAGATATATTTGGACAGCCACAACATCTGTTCAAGAACTCTAAAACATGACATGATGATACTGTATAAGCACCTTTTCATAACTCCAGTTACTGGGCAGAACTGAATTCACGTCTATCCTAACAAATAAAAAGCTGTAACAAGTTCGAAGTTTGCCAAAAGAACTAGGAAATTACTACTTTTTTTAGGGAGGGGGGTCGGAGGGGTCAGTTGTGGGCTTGAATTCTGGGCCTGGATGCTGCCCTCAGCCCTTCAGCTCAAGGCTAGTGCGCTGCCACTTTAGCCACAGCTCGACTTCTGGTTTTCTGGTGTTAATTGGAAATAAGTGTCTCATGGACTTTCCTGCATGGGCTGGCTTTGAACAAAGATCCTCAGATCTCAACCTCTTGAGTAACTAGGATTACAGGCGTGAGCCACCAGCACCTGGCTTAGGTAAATCTCAAAAAAGCTAATACTTTAAAACAATATTACTTAAAACAAAAATCTAGGAAAGTCCACACAGCTACACCCATCTGATTTTCAACACAGGTGCCAAAATACATGCTACAGAAAAGACATCCTTGTCAAGAAATAGTGTTGGAAAAACTGAATATCCACTATAAAAGACAAACCAAATTCTTATTTCTCATCTGTACAGGCTAATTCAAAATGAATTAAAAACCTAAAACTTTGAAAATATAAAACATAAGGAAAATTCTTTTTTTTTAAATTTTGTTTATTTACATTGTTAAATTTTATTTATTTATTTATATTTTTTGTTTATTTTTATCTAGTTTTTGTTTGTTTTTGTTTTTTGGTCTGGTCGTGGGGCCTGAACTCTGGGCCTGGGCACTGTCCCTCAGCTCTTCAGCACTCTACCACTTGAGCCACAGTGCCACTTCCGGCTTTTTTCTTATGTGGTGCTGAGGAATCGAACCCAGGGCCTCAGGCATGCAAGGCAAGTGCTCTACCACTGAGCCACCTTCCCAGCTCAAGGAAAATTCTTAAGAGTTATAGACATAGGGAATAACGTTCTGAATACAACTTCAGTTGCTCAAGAAATAAGTTGACAAGAGTTGACAAATGAGACTATCAAATTAAAAAGTTTCTATAAGCCAGGTGCTGGTGGTTCATGCCTGTAATCCTAGTTACTCAGGAGGCTGAGATCTTAGGATCTTGGTTCAAAGCCAGCCCAGGCAGGAAAAGTCTGTGAGACTCTTATCTCCAGTAAACCACCAGAAAACTGGAAGTGGTACTATGGCTCAAGTGGTAGAAAGTCCATGAAACTCTTATTTCCAGTAAACCACCAGAAAACTAGAAGGTGCTATGGCTCAAGTGGTAGAATGCTAGCCTTGTGCTGAAGAGCTCAGGGACAGCACAAGGACTCTGAGTTCAAGCCCATGACTGACTAAAAAAAAAAAAAGTAGAGAAAGGGAGCCTAAGAAAGTAACATGGTGAATTTGATGAACATTCATTATATGCGTGCATCATGATAGTAAAAACCTTTGGTATAATTATTTGCTAATAAATATTTTTAAAAATACTATTAGTATTCATTATACTAATAAGGAATGACAGAAAAAAGAAGAATATAATGCTTAATGAATGAAGTGTATTACAGGTATGGAAAACTTTAAACTTCTTGCAGAGTATTAAGAAGGTAAGATACTACCAACAGGAAAAATTTTAGAAATCTTCAAGTCAATGAACACTAGTGGCATTTTATTTTTTAATTTGGTAAAAAGAAATATATACATATATATATATATATTATATGTATATATATCTTCCAATATATGAAACTAACTTCACAGAACAAAATACTAAAATATTCTGACATTCTAAGACTTACAGAACACTAAATATACTGGGCACTGATGGCTCACATTTGTGATCCTAGCTACACAGGAGGCTGAGTTCTGAGGATAGTAGTTCACATGCAGCCTGGACAGGAAAGTCTGTGAGAATCATCTCCAATTAATCAGCCAAAAGCCAGAAGTGGAAGGATACCTCAAGTGGCAGAGTGCTAGCCTTGAACTTTGGCTTTTTTAAACCGAAGAAGATGGGGCTGGGAAGGTGGCTCAGTGGTAGAGCACTTGCCTTGCATGCATGAGGCCCTGAGTTCGATTCCTCAGCACCACCTAAGCAAAAAGAAAAAAAGCCGGAAGTGGCACTGTGGCTCAAGAGGTAGAGTGCTAGCCTTGAGCTGAAGAGCTGAGGGACAGCACCCAGGCCCAGAATTCAGTCCCCCGACTGGACCATCCCCCCACAAAAAAAACCAAGAGCCTGACGCGGGAGTTTGAGCCTCAGCATGTACATGCACACACACATGCATGCGCGCACACACGCGAAGCCAACATACAACAAACATGAAATTTCACAGGGAGAATAAGTGATCAGTTAATTGGGATACAGGATTTCCACTCTAGAAACTAGTAGGGTGGTCTATTTAAAAATAAAGCATTGCTGAGTTCAAGAAGCAATTGCTAGGGGCTGGGAAGATGGCTCAGTGGTAGAGCGCTTGCCTTGCATGCATGAGGCCCTGGGTTCGATTCCTCAGCACCACATAAGCAAAAAGAAAAAAGCCGCAAGTGGCGCTGTGGCTCAAGTGGTAGAGCGCTAGCCTTGAGCTGAAGAGCTGAGGGACAGCGCCCAGGCCCAGAGTTCAGGCCCCACGACTGGACCCCCCCCCCAAAAAAAGAAGCAATTGCTAGGCTGGGAATGTAGTTTAGTAGTAGAGTGCTTGCCTTGCATGCATGAGGCCCTGGGTTCTCAACACCACAAAGGAGGAAAAGCTGGAAGTGGCACTGTGGCTCAATAAGTAGAGCACTAGTCTTGAGCTGAAGAGCTGAGGGACAGCACTCAGTTCAAGCCCCACTACCGACCAAAAAAAAAAAAAAAAATGAAACAATTGCTTTGTTTGGATTTGGGTTCTGTTGCTAAGAACAATGGATGGTGGGTATTAATGATTGCATCTACTGTCCAGAAAAGAAAAGCTACTGCTTTGTAGCAAAAGCTAGATATAATGAGAATAAGAATACCTGTTTTATCTCGATTTTATAGTTATTTATATATAATTTGTTAGGGTAAATAACTTTTTAGTGAGGACCTGAAGTTCTCTAGCTAAACTCTCTTATCACTAAATTACTTCATAGCATAATCTCAGAAGATTGGAATAACCCAGTTAAAGAAGAGGCTACAAAACAGTTGGGGTTGTCATTCAAATGGAAATTAGTACCACAGTCACCACTTCAATGATGTGACAAATAAATGCTGAGTTACTCACTATGTCTATCAGATTCTAATTCATTGATTTATGATAACATTTAATTATGCAGGTTTCTCAGATGGGCAGAGAGCATGCTCTCTCTGTTCACACTTTTTAGTGAGGCATGTTCTCTCCTAACCTATCCACTGGACTCTTTCCAAGCTTCAAGTCTTTGTCTCCACTTTTTTCCAGAATTGTTTCTCTCTTTGTGTTAATTCTTCCTTTATCACTTTATCATGAAGTTCTGTGTGTGTGTGTGTGTGTGTGTGTGTGTGTGTGTGTGTGTGTGTAACCCTGAACTAAACAGTCTTAAGAGTAGAGCCCAGGACTTACGCATGGTAAGCACAGTCTTCCCCACTGAACTAAGTACAGTCTTTTCCCTTCTTTACCATCTGAATGATCTTCAACAGTGCTCTATTACCCTTCTCTCTAGTCCTCCCTGAGCATCCAGTTACGATTTTAACTACCACTTCCAGAAAGCTCCCTAATCTTGTCCTCAAACCATACTGTCCCTCATACAAAGAGGATTTGTCAATCACTTACTTAAGCGTTTTACGTAGTTTTTCACAAGCACAGGAAACGCTATGCAATTTTCCCAAAATGTGGTGATTCTCCTTCCAAATTCCCCAAGTGAAAGGACCATCATTTGCACAGTTGTCAGGCCAAAAACAAAGATGTCACTTTGTTTCTCCTTCAATAAATTATACTTTAAAATCTGTTGATGCTAAAATCTCTCAACTTTATCATTATATTTTAACTATTTGTGCCACATTTTGAAGCCTCATCCTTTCCAGTGGCCCAAGTCTCCAGGATTATAAACTATTCCAAACACCCTCTATCCTGAAGTGAAAGTAAATACTCTGTTATACTTTGGACCTTGAGTGTACTCTAAAGTCCTATGTGTTGAAGTATGAAAGTATGTACACTTCCCTGAGTACATCATGCTCTTTCATGCTTCTGCCCAAAATATTTTCTTTGCCTTTGAAATTTTCTTTTAAGGGCTGGGAAGGTGGCTCGGTGGTAGAATGCTTGCCTTGCATGCCTGAGGCCCTGGGTTCGATTCTTCAGCACCACATAAGCAAAGAAAAAAGCCGGAAGTGGCGCTGCGGCTCAAGTGGTAGAGCGCTAGCCTTGAGCTGAAGAGCTGAGGACAGCGCCCAGGCCCAGAGTTCAGGCTCCACGACTGGACCCCCCCCCCCAAAAAAAAGAAATTTTCTTTTAAGCCTTCCTTAAACTCTTGCATAAAGACAGTGTATGTCTGTAATCCTAGCTTCAGGAGGCTGAAGTCTGAGGATTATGATTCAAAGCTAACCCACACAGGAAAGCCCTTGATACTCTTATGTCTGAGTAACCACCAAAAAGCAGGAAGTGGAGGTGTGACTCAAGTAGTAGAGTGCTAGCCTTGAGCAAAGACAGGGACAAGCCCTGAATTCAAGCACCAAAATAGACAAAAAAAAAAAAAAAAGTGTGTGGTATGTGCAGGGAACTTAATGCTAGAAAGCTAAAATGATGATTGCTCCTGTATTCTGAGCAGGCAGCCATGGGCAGAGAGAGTGGATACAGTTCTTGGTGGTATGCCATGCCACGCTACAGGATACCATCTTTTTTACCTTCTACCTCTACCACCACCCATTATCATCAACAGCAGGTACATCTGACATTCACAGGTTGCTCATTCTATGCTGAGCACTACTCAAACTAATTTTTTTTTGTTTGCCATACTGTGCTCTACCATAATAATCCATATTCTTAGGGGCTGAATTTCTATAAATATACTTTCTATGAAAAACTCTACTATTGTATTTTTCACATTTCTCTGTAAAATAACTGTTTTGTAAATCACTAAAATTACAAAGAAACACAAAAAGCATTTTACGATTTCACTACCCAGTGACAAGTATTATTAGCAGAATAATATAGTTCCTTCTAATTTCCATCTTACCAAACTTGATAGTTTTTGGGCTGTTCTTCAATTATTGCAGTGATGTAGTTCATTTCCTCATGCAGATCCTTTTGAAGTGATTTTAAGAGAACTCTCCGAAAATGCCTACAACAAACAGTTAAGTCTTACTATTCTATAAATATTACCTTGCAGCAGTATCAAAGCTACAAGACAACCTTTTCATAGCTACACTAAGCATTAATATGACAACCTAGCCTGTGACTGTCCAAATTCATACAATCATCTGATAACTAGAAGAATCAAGCATTTGAGGTAAAAAATAATTTTTATAATCTATGTATTACCTGAATTGTGAAATGTATACCTTAATAATAAAGATGAGAGATTTTTTAATACTAACATGAAAAGTTCACAAAACAGATACAACTCTACTCGGTAATTTCAGTGAAATCTTCTAGCTGATAAAACCTGCCACTCTTATGCTTCTAATCAAGTAAGTTATAAATACACAAGGAAAGCCTACAAACTACAAATATTTACATGAAAATGACCAAAGCAAATAAGACCCAAAGCTATTACAGGGGCTTGCCCAGGCAGGAAAGTTACACTCTCCAAATTAACCACCAAAAAGCCAACATGGAGCTGTGGCTCAACTGGTAGAGCACTAACCTTTAGCCAAAAAAAAAGTAAAGCTCTGAGACAGTGCCCAGGCCCTGAGTTCAAGCTTCAGGACTGATACAAACAAACAAAAGATAATCACACTCATGAAATCAATGAACAATAAGTTAGTTTAAAAAGAATTTATTCAGAATTAGAAGCCAGTGGCTCACACCGATAATCTTACATTGTTGGGAAGCTGAGTTCCAAAAGTCCCTCTCAACCAAGAACTGGGCACCTGTTATCCTAGTTACAACAGGAAGACTAAAATAGGTATGTTACTGCATAGGCACTTAGCTGGGCAGAAAACAAGACTGCATCTTAAAAATAACCACCACAAAAAAAAGGGGGGAGGGGTGGAGGCACAGCTAAGAGGTAGAGGATCTACATAGCAAGTTCCAGCCTTGAGTCCAAATGACAACAACAAAAAGAGACTATTGAGAGAACAAAAGGAGAGTTCTGGGAAATTAAATGTAAGTACAGATATTTAAAAGCCAGAAGTAGTGGACTAGGAATGTAGCTCAGTGGTAGAGTGCTTACCTTCCATGCAGGAGGCCCTGGGTTCGATTCCTCAACACCACATAGACAGAAAAAGCCGGAAGTGCACTATGGCTCAAGTGATAGAGTGCTAGCGTTGAGCAAAAACAGCTCAGAGACAGTACCTAAGCCCTGAGTTCAAGCCCCAGGACTGGCAAAAAAAAAAAGTCAGAAGTAGAGCTATGGCTCAAGTAGTAGAGAGTACTTGCATTGAGTAAAAAGGCTGAATAAAGGACAGTGTTCATGTAAAATGAGGAAGTTGATCAAGAAAAACAAAGATAGCCCAGCACCTGTGGCTCACTCCTATGTCCTAGATACTCAGAAAGAAGAAATCTGAGGATCAGGGTTTAAATTGAGCTTGAATAAGAGAGAATTATTTGCAACAAACCAGCAAGCCAGAAATGGAGGTATAGTTCAGGTGGCAGAGCATCAGCCTTAAAGAAAAAAGGTAAAGGAGAATGCAAGGCCCTGAGTATTGTCACAAAGAAAAAACAAAACAAAACAAACAGAAAAATAAAAGGGGCCAGGAAGGCGGCTCAGTGGTAGTGTACTTGCCTCCCATGCATGAGTCTCTGGGTTCAATTCCTCAGCACCACATATACAGAAAAAGCTGGAAATAGCACTGTGGCTCAAGTGGTAGAGTGCTAGTCTTGAACTGTAGAGCTGAGGGACAGTGCCCAGGCCCAGAGTTCAAGCCCTATGACTGACAAAACAAAAACACCACACACACACACACACACACACACACACACACACACACACCAAACACACACACACACACACACACACACACACACACCAAACACACATACACACACACCAAACACACACACACACACCAAACACACACACACCAAACACACACACACATACAAACCAAAAATGTGAGATCTAGGACAGTTAAAGACAAGATGTACAATATGTAAAAGGTAACAGATGACAGGATTCCCTGTCACATTCAACAGTATTGAAACAGGGGCTGGAAGGTGGCTCAGTGGCAGATCGCTGGCCTTGAGTCGAAAAGCTCAGGGACATTGCCCAGGCCGAGTTCAGGCCCCACAACTGACAAAAAAATAAATAAATAAACAAATATATATATATATATATATATATATATATATATAGTAATGAAACATTCACATTATGAAAGTCTGGAAGATCAATTACTTATTGGTACAAAGGCAAGAAAGCCAAAGAAAAAGGCAATCTGCTAAAGAAAATGTTATTATAAAGAGCCAACACCGGGGCTGGGAAGGTGGCTCAGTGGTAGAGCGCTTGCCTTGCATGCCTGAGGCCCTGGGTTCGATTCCTCAGCACCACATAAAGAAAAAAGCCGGAAGTGGCGCTGTGGCTCTATCATAGAAGGAATAATATTTACAATGAAAAAATACTACAAACAACAATAAAACATAATATCTAGTACACAAATACCAATTCAAAAAAGAATGGTTAATTGTGAAGGTTAAAATGTGTTTGTGACTTTTAACTAAGTACCACTATTCCACAATACTGTAAAATATGTAAAATTTAGTAATCAGCTAATCTCTATTAAAAGAAAAATGAGAGAAGGGGTGGGTTAGGAGTGATGGGTGACAATGTTATCAGACACTTTGTATTCATATACTGTTTTGTAGAATGGGAACTTCTTTGTACAACACTTAAAGATAATAAAAAAATTTTAAAATTAAAATATTTATTATTATTATTTAAAAAAAAGAATGGCTGGGCTGCGAAGGTGGCTCAGTGGGAGAGTGCTTGCCTTGCATGCTCAAGGCCCTGGGTTTGATTCCTCAGCACCACATAAGCAAAAAGAAAAAAGCCAGAAGTGGCGCTGTGGCTCAAGTGGTAGAGCGCTAGCCTTGAGCTGAAGAGCTGAGGGTCAGTGCCCAGGCCCAGAGTTCAGGCCCTATGACCAGACCAAAAAAAAAAAAAGAATGGCTAAGAGTCGTTCTGGGAATTGAAACTCTGGTGACAGGAAGGAATAGGGCAAAGTTGATTATTTTTATTCAACTTCTAACTTTTAAATACATATATAGAGGGGCTGGGAAGGTGGCTCAGTGGTAGAGTGCTTGCCTCGCATGCATGAAGCCCTGGGTTCGATTCCTTACCACCACATAAGCAGAAAAAGCCAGAAGTGGAGCTGTGGCTCAAGTGGTAGAGCACTAGACTTGAGCTGAAGAGCTCAGAGACAGCACCCAGGCCCAGAGTTCAGGTCAAAAGAAAGAAAAGAAAAAAATACATATATGATTTGTTTTTCAGTCATGGGGCTTGAACTCAGGGCCTGAGTGCTGTCCCTGAGCTTTTTTGGTCAAGGCTAGCTCTCTACTAATTTGAGCCACAGTGCCCCTTCCAGTTTTCTGATGGGTTAATTGGAGATAAGAGTCTCACAGACTTTCCTGTCGAGGCTAGCTTTGAACAACCATCCTCAGATCTCAGATTACTGAGCAGCCAGGATTATAGGTATGAGCCATTTGTGCCAGGCTACATATGTAGTTTTATTTTTATGTTTGGTGCCAGTTCTGGTGCTTAAACTCAGGGTTTGTGCAGTCCTGGAGCTTTTTTACTCAAGACTATCAATTGAGCCACAGCTCCTCTTCCAGATTTTTTCAGTGGGTAACTGAAGATAAGACTGCCGGGGCTGGGAAGGTGGCTAAGTGGTAGAGGGCTTGCCTTGCATGCATGAGGCCCTGGGTTCGATTCCTCAGTACCACATAAGAAGAAAAAAAAACAGCCAGAAGTGGCGCTGTGGCTCAAGTGGTAGAGTGCTAGCCTTGAGCTGAAGAGCTGAGGGTCAGTGCTCAGGCCCAGAGTTCAGGCCCCACGACCAGACCCCCCCACCAAAAAAAAAGACTGCTGCCTAGGCTGACTTTCAACCATAATCAGATCTCAGCCTCCTGAATAGCTAGAATTACTACATGAGCCACTGGCACCTCGCTATATGTGGATTTTTTTTAGATAAAAATTTGAAACTCAGTTTGAAAAAAGAAAACTCATTCAAAGTAAAACATGAGACACATATATAGGAAATATTAATGATTTGTATTGCTTACCAAACTGTATAATTGGCAGCATTTAACTCTATTGCATCTCGGGTGAGCTTAAAGGCACGTTCACTTCTTTCATCACGCTGCAGAACAGCTCGGAAATAATCATAAACATCTCTAACTGAAAAGAGAACACAGACACAGAGCTGCTTTAGGACTTAGGTTTCTTATCTAAAACTATCACTATAATACAAAATGTTGTTATATCTACGTGGAAATATATTTTATTTCCATGCATATCACAACGAGTGCTACAGCCTCAACACATGAGCTACAATGGTCTGGCAATGCTTTCTGCTAATGACACACTGCAACCAAATATCTGATATAAAAACAAAAGCATGTATCACCAAATATTTTCATACAGCTGGTTTTCTCGTATTTAATTTTGATCACATTTTTAACTGAAAATATGTACAATGGTAGAAAATACAAATGATACAAAAAGGGGGCTGGGAAGCTGGCTCAGTGGTAGAGCGCTTGCCTTGCATGCATGAGGCCCTGGGTTCGATTCCTCAGCACCACATAAGCCAGAAAAAAAAAAGCTGGAAGTGGCGCTGTGGCTCAAGTTGGTAGAGTGCTAGCCTTGAGCTGAAGAGCTGAGGGACAGAGCCCAGGCCCAGAGTTCAGGCCCCACGACCAGACCCAAAAAAAAAAAAAGATACAAAAAGTTCAAACTAAATTTCCATTCTAGCTGGGAGCTGTTGGTTCATGCCTGTAATTCTATCTACTCAGGAGGCTGAGATCTGAAGATGGCAGTTTGAAGCCAACGAGGGCAAAAAAGTCCCTAAGACTCATCTCCAATTAGTCCCAGAAAATCAGAAGTGGCACTGTGGCTCAAAGTGGTAGAGCACTTGCCTTGAGCAAAAGAACTACTGAGGGAATCCTAGCTACTCAGAAGGCTGAGATCTAAGGAACACAGTTTGAAGCCAACCTGAGCAGGAAAGTCTATGAGTCTCTTATCTCCAATAAACTCAGAAAAAGCTGGAAGTGGTGCTGTCAGGTAGAATGCTAGTCTTGAGGACAAAGAAGCATAGGGGTAGCACCCAGGCCCTGAGTTCAAGCCCCAGGACAAGCAAAAAAAAAAAAAAAAAAGCAAAGAGCTCAGGGACAGCACTCAGGATCTGAGTTCAAGCCCCAGGATTGGCAAACACAAAAAGCTCCATTTTCTTAATTCACACACTGTTCAAAAAGAAATGTGCTTTTTACCTGACTTATGTAACTGTAACTCCTCTGTATATTACCTCTATAATAATAATAAATCAATTGAAAGAAAAATTCACAGGACTCCTCCCCAGAAGGAAGCATTCTTAACTGAGTCTAGTATATCCAATATATTTATGCATATACAAGTATACAGTCTAATTCACCCTCATTGTTTTACATAAATGAAACCCATACCCAATGTTTTTGGCCCTCATAGATCTTTTTTTTTTTTTTTTTTTTGGGTCCGGTCGTGGGGCCTGAACTCTGGGCCTGGGCGCTGTCCCTCAGCTCTTCAGCTCAAGGCTAGCGCTCTACCACTTAAGCCAC